AAAAATTAAATTTTTTACAAGCAATATGTATTTAACTCTTTATTAACAAATTATTTTTTTTGAGTTTTGAAACATTTTTTATAAAAATTTGTATCTAACAACACTTGATTTAGCTATTTCCGCCTCATCAACCATTTGTCAACACTGAATTCTGGTAGGAGTGAATGTGGGTGTTGGTGGTTGGGGCACCTCGTTGACTTCGATTTATGTTTGCTGCGAGCCGACAGCCCCCGAAAGTAAATTAAATTTGCGTTTTTTTTTATTAGGAAGTATTTTATTTAATCGTACAGTCTTGTTTTCCTTAGCACGTGGAATGTGGAAGGGGAGAGTTCCCCAGTTGGCTCTTCCAAAACGACGAGAGTTATTTGTACCTGTTCCCTGATTATTCGCCTTGTTCAAAGACACACACAATCACAAGAGCGTAGATTTTGAGTTTTCTTGTTGGCACACACCGGAAATGAGAAATTATTCCGTTTCCGTCGCGACAGACGAATACCATTGTCGCATAAATTGCAAATTAAACCTTAAGACCGGCGAGGGCGAATGTAACTGCGTATGTGCGCTTTTTCAAGCGTTTAGCAGAAAATTAAAATCCTAGAAGACAGGTATTTTATTTCCATAAATTGTGTTCTTTAAGAGTACCATTAGGTATTGCTCAAAATTGTTATTACTTATTGCGTTCTGTGGGTTCTCTTTTGAATACTTGTAATCTGCTGTTAATAAAGATGATAATTTAAGTAGATACAGCCAAAAACAAAGGTAAGCTTTCAAAATAACAAAGAAACAATTTAATTTGCAAGAAACAATATTATAACAGTTGAATAACCAAATTTGTGCAGTTTATTGAGTGATTTCAAATACCTTTTAATAATTGTTAAGCGATAATTATCGCACTCGCTCTTTAAGAGCTCTTTAAATTGCGTATACGACCGGGCTGGCAATGTGGAGCAGACGAGTGCGCCAAGTGCGTTGGCAGGAAGTGCAAGAAGTGGCCACAATTGCATTTAGCCGAACTAAAAACATTTACGACTGGCAAACACTGCGTGACAGAATGAGCGGAAAAGGTTCCGCCGGCGTTGCAGACAAGTCGCTCCAGATGGCACATAACAGACACTTAAATGGCAAAAGTTAAAATTACAATTAAACGCAAAGTGAGAGACCGAGAAGCCGTTCAAAGAGTTTCTGGCACACAGGGAAAAAACAGAGCCCCACAAGGTATAATTTATAATAGTTAAAAAGTATTTGCATAAACACAAAAGTTTACAATCTTACTTTAAACAGTAAAATAATAGAAAAATAACTTTGCTAACTTACAGATGATCTTTAATCTAATTATTGCTATAGTATGTTTATAGGTTCTTTAACACTAGAATATTTTCCTAATATATTATCCATGATATATGATATATTTATGCAGAACACATATGTATTTTAAAACCATTTAAAATGAGTTAAAGAGATTGAAATAGTATTTATAGCTTAATTTGTTTCTATAAAAATATTCACTTATTAACCATTTTATTTTCTATTAATCCATCAAATCGATGTTGTTATTTTGCTGTCTGTAGATGGATCCCTGGATGGCATTCAGCATGGTCATCGGATATCCTTTCGCAGCAGAAACTGCAGAAAAAGGCCAGCATGGCCCTGACAAATGCAAACAACTCGACGAAGTGAAGCCCCACGGAGCTGGGTAAATTGTTGGCTTAACAAATTGCTAATCCACTTTCGCCGGGGTTGGGGATTGGAATTGAACGAGGGAATGCATTTGAATGCTTCTCGAATCCTCAAAGTTGTGGGCAATCAGAGAGACGCTTTGGAACCCATTCGAGACTGTAGCTCCGGAAAAAGCCCCACTTCTCAAACTTTTTATGTTTACATCAAAGGGAGCATTTATCTGATATGATTAAGTTTTCAGTTCTATAACACCGAAATGCATAATAAGTGAATCTCAAAAGTTGGTAATCTAATCAAGTTGCATTTACTTAAAGTTTTGGGTCAAAGGTGTGGTGTTGCTCCGGATTTGTTTGTGATTTAATTTCGTATGCCAACGTACGGAGATGAAAATATTTAAATTAAACTTTGCTGGGAGTATGTGCCAGCTTTCAACTCACTCAAAGGTCATTTCACTTGGCTTTCAAGAAAATTAGTTTTAAATTAATTAAAAGATTTTCTCCATAACTGTGCGCTGTGTGGCTCTTGATGGCGTTGGAAAAGTGAGGCCAGGCGGAGAAAGAATGGTAAAACTTGGATAATCGTCCCAACCGCACCGCCCACTTTTCCAAGCGGCTGGGTGACCTCCGCCCGCCCCAGAGAACTCAGCTCACTTTTTAATAGTTCGCAAACCACGAAAGGCTATGTGAGTTTAAACACTGTTACAAATACTTTTCCGGAGGCGGAATGTGTACGCAACTGGAATTACGCAGCAGGCGCAATCCGGAAAACTTCCTCGCCGTTCTTTTCTTTTCCACTTTTATGTAGTCCTTAAGTATTTATTTGAATTTCAACTTTGTGGTGGCAAAGCAATCATTTCAGCAAAATTAAGCATTTTAAAGTATGCATGTACAGCTGGATTAAGGATATCAGTAAGTAAGTTCATTTTAAAACCGATTAAAGTAAACTAATTTCTTGGTATTTAAGACATGTGCCCCTTCTTTCCTGGCGGAAATTTAAAAATGGAAAAAAGTATCCAACCGGAAATTGCGAAGCATACAAATATTATAAATCCATTTGCAGTTAATCAACAAATCTTCTTAAGTAACTGGAGACAACTCTGGGTCGTCAAATTACTAAATAAATATTTTTGCAAGCATTTGTATGTTTGCATGTTGGCGTTGCGAAAGGAAATTAACCCGTGAGAAAGGAGCTGGGTATCTGGGGTCGTAGAACCGCCATCAGCTGTTTATGCTTTCATCCCCAATTTTCACAGTTCGCTGTCGAAAAAAGTTAGCTTAACTCCACAAAACACTGGCTGACTTTACCTTTTAAAGTGTTTCCTTACAAAGTGAAGTTTAGTTACCATTTATTAGAAAAGTTCGTAAAATGTGGTTACCTGTTGTGAATACATTTTTGTCATAATAAGTGGTTAGTTAAAACTTTTAATGGATGGATGAATTTTTTTAAATTTTGGAAATAATAAGAAAGGCTTGTGATGGTCTGGCAATATATAACAAAACCTGGTTACAATATTTCTACCAACTCAAATATGAATGTTGATAGGGAACAACATATGGGGAAATCCCTACCGATAAAAACAGTCCGCACGGGGTTGTTTTCACCGGTACTCGCTTGTTGCGGTGGGATGGTATAGGTATAGGATGGTATGGATATGGATGCCAACCCCCGAGGAACTCCGGCACACTCCGGCTGCGCTCTCCAATCGCTACCTGGCCCCTGATTAATTTAGTCTGGGTCTCTCACTTTGTTCTGTTTTCTTTTCTGCCAGGTACCCACAGGGTATACCATGACATGTGTTCCTCTACAGTGTGGGCGATTGTGGGTGGTTACTCGGGTGTCCAGGGGGTGGTGGTGCATTTCTAAGCGAGTCAAATTGTATGCAACAAAGACCTGTGACATCAGATGTCCATGGTGTATGTGCATGGATGTAATTAGAAAAACATCGGTGTACATGGGCTTGTGTGCTAGCCACCAGGAAGTTCGAAAATATAAAAAGAGTAATTGGTAAAACCAACTGCAAGTCATAGTCCATTTGTTGCCAAATTCGATCCAAGCTGTATGGAGTTAACTCTTGAAGTTTAAGCTTGGCTTCTTCGGTATATATGGTAACAAAAATATAACTGAAAACTGATAACGAAATTATTCTTAAATTTTTTTTATACATTTAACAATAGACCTCTCAACTTGGTTATCAAAAGAACATTGTACTGGTAGTAGAACTACTTGTTTTTTTTAAATCTGTTTAGCTTTCAATGCAATTATGGTTAAATCAAATCTAATGACAGGCCTAGACGGAAACCATTCTAACTGTCAAAGGATACTAGGGAAATTAAAGAAATCAGACGGATTTCCATTGTCGGCTTTTCCGCCCTCAGTCTGCCTTGCAATTGACCACTTTTGTGCTCGACAAAAGGAGAGACAGGCAAACAAAGGGGAAAAGCTCCACAAAGGAAATTCAATTTAATGGATTTTAAATGTTGAGGTTACTCGACCCTTCAAGTGAATCCTGTAAATTCCTATAATACACCAACAGATTAACAAATAAAATATAAGTATCTGTTCCCGTTACTTTCCAAAAAGTTCTTCTTTGAAGAATTAAATCCCTAAAATATTTAATAATAGAAGTAAGCTAACCAAGTTCAGTTAAAAACTAAAAGGTTTTTCTTTTGAACCAATTTAAGTAAATAAACCCTATCAAAAACTAACTATTGTTTGAAATGCAGTACAGAAAAGGATGAGTAATATCAATCCACCAATAACGCACAAGAAGCCTTTGTTTAAATATTTACAAATGTATGAGATGAAAGAATGAGAAATGAGATTGGTAAATGTGCTTTTGGCAAATATGTATAATAATTCAACGCTTTTATGTTTCCTCTGTCAATAATTAGAAACCTCCTAGGAAAACATTAAAATAGTTCCGTAAACGTATTGATTAATGGTTATTTCCTTACATATCGATCTCCCAACGATATTAGCCCCGACTCCTTTTACATATTCACAAATGTATGAGCTTTTTACACGCAACTTACATGAAAGATAAATCAATTTGGACAATTAGATTTATGTTAATGATTAAGATTTATCTTTAGAAATGGATATTATGTGGTTTCGCTGTCTTGCATAAAATGCAACAGAGTTCCTTGTTTAATTTAGTTTTCCTTGGAATTGATTATCCCATACCTGTCGACGGCAGTTTGGAAAAAACACCCCGAATCGCCTGCAATTTTTGAAACACCACCAAAAACGAGAGCCGTAAAACCATACAGCCAGACAATCATATAAAAAGGTTCTTATAACTGCAATGAGATCACTTCACTTACCAAACAGTCAGATGATACATATACATATGTAGTTCACTATAGTGCGATGCTTTTGGTGAATTCACTTAGCACTTAAGTATCTCTACAGAAACTTTTGGCTTAATCCGGCTAGCTCTTGAGTTTGGTACGAAAATCGAAGCCAGACAAAGGCCGAAACACTCGTTATGGCCATTTGGAGGACCTTTGTTCACTAACGTTCGGTAAATTCAATTTTGACAATTTTCAAGTGGCACTCGACTGCGGCACAATCCACGAGATACAATTGCATCCGGATAGGAGCGGTTTCCGTGTGAAGTATCTACGAAAAGCGGCAAAAAACTGTGAGGCCAAGCGGACCGGACTTTCACCCACGAACAGCGACGGCAGCAAACTGACTGCCACGCGACTTTGAGCCACCGGCCAGAGCCAAAATAAAGCCACGAGCGCACTGCCGAGCACGAGGCGCCAGGACACAGGGCACTCAGCACTCCAAAGAAGTCCTCGTGGATGTAGCGAGAGGCGCACGCCATCGCTGGTGTGAGGACTGCGCAGAGAGAGAGTTACAGAGAGCTCAGGCGAAGGATGCACGGTGGTTGTTTTCCCGCCCGACGAGGGGGTGGCTCGAGTAGCTGGGTGGTTGGGTGGTTAGGTGGTGCCGAGCACATCCAGCTCGACATGTCATGTTGTGACGCCGTCTGCTGCGAGTTTCACTACAGCCAGCCGGTGAAAGGGGGTGGAAAGGCTGTTGCCGGCCAGCTTAACTCTCGGTCATCTATAAAATTCGAAGCAAATTAATTCCGAATCTGCATGCCTTAATCTGTGTGCTACCTAGATTTTTATTGGATTTTGGTTGTGAATTACTAGATAAATAACTGACAGTTTCCCAAATAAAAGCATAGTACTAGCAAATGTTGTACGCTCTAAACTTTTGAATGTTCATAACTTCTACTTAAAAAGGTACAACAAAGGAAAAAAATAAAGGATTTAATTCTTAATTTTTTTGTTTTGGACCTTGATAATAAATATTACTTAATACCAGGAAACAATAATTGGATATTTCTGCTAGGTCCGCTAGCTTCAAACTGTTTGCAGCGTAAATTCAGTTTTTGATTTGGGATGTACAGTTAAAAAATTATCTGCAGGACTAAATCACAGTGCAGCCAAAAATTCAACTAAGGGGTGAATTATTAGTCTTCTGAAAGTTGTACACTTTGTTTGATTTTTATAAACTTTGCATATAAATATAGATCCTGCAACCTTCCATGTTCAAACTAAGGAACGTATGCTTTTTATGAATGGTACACAAATCTTTAATGAATAAACACAAAAGCAAATAGGGTTACTTGCAATACCGGTCGGCCTTCATTTTACTGCGTCTGTCTAAAAGGGTTTCATGCAGGGATCCCTGAGCCTTGGCATCTTCGAGTTCTTTTACATCGTTTTGATTAATCCGCATTTTCTTGTCTTGGAACTTTTGGAACTTTTTCCTATAGAGGATACAAGTATTTTTTATTATATTTTCTTATAACAGACTGAGACCATTTAAAAAGATCTAGCATTGGCAATACTTACACATAATTCTTTTCAACTTCGCCCAAGTCCCCCTTTTCTTCCTTGGGTTCCGTATCGATGACAACATCCCTGGCTGCGTTACTCCGCACTTTACAGATTTCATATTGTCCTACCTTTTTACGCAATGCAACACAGGCGTCGTCTTCGGGATCGATGGACATAAAGTGTCCGGTTTCCGAAAGCAGGGCCATACGATTTTCCTTCGAATTAAATTGATTATTTCAACAGATAAGGGCGGGCTTATAATAAGTGTCGCATACCTCGAAAACTGGCTCCCACTGTTCCATACTACCCACAGCTTCGGATCGCCCTGTTACCATGCCATCTTTTTCGATTTTCAAGTACTTGCCATAGCCAGATTTAAAGGCTACCTTGCGGTCATTGATAAGAAATACAGTGAAAATCTCTTCTGGATCTGGGCCATCGCCAGCGTTATGAGGTGCTCCCAAAGTAAAAAGACTAAAATATTCATTTTTATTAAAGAATGGAAGTTTGGAGTTAAATGATCAACCAAATATTACCCATTATCCATGGCTTTCAGGTAACATCTATCGCTGAACTCAATAGACACTGTTCCCGTTATGTCGGCAGCAGTCTTTGCTGCCCACCATCCACCGTGCTCCACTGCATCCTCGTCTACCACCACCTTGGGCTTTTTGGAAGATCCCGCCTCATCCTTTTCCTTCTTTCGTTTCTTGCTTTTCCTGCAACAATCAGTAGTTAATAGTTTAACCAACGAGGCAAGTCTAAGCCACTGAGTATAATTACTTATGTTTTTCGCCCTTTAAAACTAATTTCTTGATGCGTGCATGATCGTAAGCAGACATATTTACAGTAAAATAACTATATATTAACCAAGTAATCCAATAAAACACCGAAACACCTAGTTTGTTTTGTTTTTTGGTCAACAATAGTGTGCCCGCTGTGCATCTTCCTACAAATTACTTTTTAGGTTATCGAAATACCGAAAATCCCACAGTGACTATAACAGCCTGGTTCCACTGCATAATGTACATTTTGAGAAACCAAATAAAGGAAAAGTTGCTATGATCATTACTAGCGATCATAGATAAAAACCTAATACAATTTCAAAATTTGTTCAAAAATCAAAGAAAGAAGATACTAGATTATTTTCTATTGACATTCTCTACCATTACATTTAACAATGTGTACACAAATTGGACTTCCACAGAGCACTAACAACATGCGATATTTAGAAGATGGTTTTTTGGTTCAAACCTGTAATGGTGTATTCAATTCAAAATCGTAGATAAACCAATACTTGGTAATAATTAAACCTCTATTATTTTTAGATTACTTAGCACAATTTTCAGGGCGTCAACTTTTATATTTTTGCCATTTGAAGAATGGAACGTAGGGTTAGTTATGCCTAAACGTTATGGGGAGGACTATCCTATCCTGTTCTCGTGTAAGATCAATTTCCTACCCATTCTCACAGCGTTATAATTTAAGACAAGTCGTAATTTGTTTTATTATTCACATGTCGATTTGATAGGCAGTGGAATCACCCTTATAAAAAATATGAAGCCGGCGACATTTTTTAGTATATTCATAGTATTTTATTTAAAGAACGAACAATAGTATGAAAAGTATATTTTTCACAGTCAGACGGTATATTTCTATGACTCTTCCGCGGTCACACTGTGCTAGCTTTGGTTTTTCATGATGGCATAAACATTATCCGGAAACGTACATGAAACCGCAACCGCCGAGCTGGTGCACCGCTGCAATCGACGAGGACGTCCGCCCGCGCCGCCCAATCGATACTACCGCTCGGCGAGGGAAAGCGCAGCGTGGAAACTCAGCAACGCGGCGCCGCCATTGAGAGAGCTGCATAAGAAAAGCGTGTGCTCCCGCAAACAACAAGAAAAAACTAACGAGAGGGGAGTGGAGTGAGAGGAAAACCGATTTGAGGTCGCCGGATGTGAAAATGTCGCAAGCAACTGGAGGATCAGCCGCCGGAATGGACGACCAAGCACCTAGCAATCTGGCAAAGCCACCGGAGGATCTCCAGGACATTGACACCAATAGTCTGGAGCCGGGCGAAGTTGTGACCCCGCCCCATCTTCATCCGGGGAGTCCGGCCATTAAGAAGCAACTTTCCAAGGACCTGATGATCAGCAAAACGTTGCGAAAGATGCCAGGTGGTACTTTGGAACTGGCACGCATGGAGAACGGCTCTTTGGGAACACCGAAAACACAACCGGAAGAGGCGGATGATAGCGAAGGTCTGTATTCGGATTCGGACTCCTCGGGGGAGGACCTCAAGAACCTGGAGGATGTGCAAAAGGCCAGGAAGGAGAAACAGGAGGAGGCTGAAGCTGCTGCCCATCCTCAAGCGCCACCCACGCCCTTTTTGGGCATTAATCCTTTAAGATTCCACATGAGAGCTCCTTGCTTTGACTTCCCCCGCATGGGTTTTATGCCCCGGATGGCCAGGGGAGGACCCATGACCAGGGGTATGAGACCGCTTTTCTTTGGTCGCCCGCCCATGCAAAATCGTATGGGAGCACCAATGATGGCTGGTTCACCAAGCCAAGGACCTCCGCCGGGAGCTTATGGACCGCAGAATCCTCCAGGTCCAGGAGATAACAACAACTCAGGACGTTCAAAGCGACCCCAATCGGATGTAGTGTAAGTAAATACGTAACCATACTAGAAATAGAGTTATAGGGGTTTTCTTTCAGATGGACAGCCTTGCAGCCGCCAGTGTCTTTTGTCTTCAATCTGGTCACCGAGTGCTCGAACTCAAAGCACGAAAAGTGTAGGAGTAAAGCGGAACCTGCCACACAGAATTCCACAGAAGCCCCCAGCGAAACAAAGGACAAGACCACTGAACAGTTAAATGAAATTGATCGATCCAGGGGCAAGACCAGGGAAAAGTCCCCACACAGAGATGCCGATAGAGGAAAAACAAGAGAAAGAACCCAGGAAAGAAATCAAAATCGAGGAAAAACTGAGGAACGGTCAAAAGAAAGCGATTTATCCAGAGGAAAAACTAGTGAAAAATCCAAGGACAGGGATTTAGGTAGAGGGAAAGCTAGAGAAAAGTCAAGGGATAGAGATTCAATTCGAGGAAAAAATAGGGATCGATCACAAGATAGAAATCAAGATAGGGCAAAAAAGAGAAAAAGATCAAAGGAAAAAGAACAAACTGAAGGTGAGTCTGAGACGACCGCAATAGATCGAACTACAGGAAAAGCAAAGGACCGATCCAGGGAGAGAGATCCAACAAGGCCGAAAACACCTGAAAGGTCACAAACGGGAGATCAAAGCAGAGGAAAGACATTGGACAGAGAACAGAGCAGGGCTAAATCAAGGAAAAGGTCCAGATCCAGAGAGAAGCGTCGAGAAAAATCCAAGGAAAAGCTTGGCGATAAAGAGAATAACAGAGTCTTATCCAGTGAAAAACTGAACGAAAAAACCAAAGTGCACAGGGATAAATCTAAGGTTGAATCGCAGGACAAGTATAAGGAAACGCACGAGGAGGGCCCAAATAAAAAGCGCAGGGAAAAATCCAAGGAAAAGGTCAGAAAACGATCAAAGGAGAAATCACCGCGAAAAATTCATGATAAGACAACGGAAAAAATATCTGATGTCAAACAAATCAAAGATTTAAAAGAAAAACCCTCGGAACGTAAGAAAGACACACTGCCGGAACAATTAGTCGAAACACTAGACGAACGTTCAAAGGATAAGCAAAGAAAGCGATCTGGAGAGAAATTAACAGCAAGATGCTTAAAAGAAAGCGGTAAAGACAAATCTAGGGTTCATTCGAGGGAAAAGTCTAAGGAAAGGTATGTAGAAAAACGCAGCGATCTGTCGAAAGCGAAGGAGTTTGGAACTTCCAGGGAAAAGGGTGTTGATAGATCGAGAAGAGCAGCAACGCCGCATGATTCCTCCTACAAAAATGCCTTAGAAATCGATCACGGCTCCAGAAAAAAGAGCGAGCCATCTTCGTCATGGGAGGACAGAGAAGGAACTCCACCAACAACGCCGCCACATGTTCATATCCCCCTGACTCCAACTGGTGAAATCCAGAAGCCGAAGTGTTTCGATATATTTGCCGAATCTCCGCCAAGATTAAACACTGCCGTTACAGCTCCAGCTGTATCTATCGAAAGGAGTACTACGCCGCCATTAAAGGCGACCCCCATTTCCATTCCTATTGCTCAAATTTCCAAACCCGACAAATTGGCTCCTCTGCTCAAGGCCAGCGAGATTCACAGTAGGATTGGCGCTCTGCTCGAGGACAGTGATTTGCATTTGGATGCCCTTTTGGCTACCAAGGAACAGTTGTTCCGTCGCACCAATGAATACAAGGAGAGGAAAGAGGCGCCCAAAGAAATTAAAACAGAACCTCTGTCAAAAAATAGAGATAGGAGATCCGGTGGTGAAAAAGCAGAGGTTGACCATCACATAAACCAAACCAGACATATAAATCCCTTCAAGCGTGAATCAGTATTAAGCGGGAAGAAATCTTCCTCACGTCCTTCAAGCAAGGAGAGGCGTCTTCATCGAAACGACAGTGGCAGTGAAGAGAATTGGGACACAAATTTGGAAAGAGAAAGAAATCAATCACATGACAATCATCAAAGTGGATCGCAACCAAGACGCAGTGATGAGTACAGAAACCTCAGCATTAAGATTGAAAAGGATCTTACGCCCCCGCCTCAACAAAAGTCCTTTACTGTAACCACCATTAAAACCGAACGCAATTCCACGCCCCCACGAAAGGCGGAACGGGAAGTGCTGGTAAGAAATGGTGCTGTGGCTGCCAATGCTCCTCCACCAGCAAACGAGCAGGAAAGTCCCGATACAGATGACTACATTGACAACTGGGAAAACGACGATTCAATGGCCAGTATGCCGAAGAACGCCCCACCGGTTACTCCGACTCCTACTCCAAATCCCATTGTTTCTCTAAATGCAACCCCCTTGCCTCCACCAGCTGCCCAATTCAACGGCGAGGATGAGGATTCGAATGCCTTGTGGAATGCCAACAGCACTCCACCTCCTCGAACCAAAGATGGGAACCTAGCCACGAGCAATATCCATGAGATATATGACAAGTTCATGAATAGTATTAAGATGTCAAACGAGGATTTGGAGCCAGATATTCTGGAAACCTCCAAGAACAGTTCCTTGAGTAATTCCGCTGCCGATGAAAGTTCTTCGGGCACTGAGACTTCGTCAACAAGTAGCAGTAGTAGCGAATCCGAGGAGGATTCCAGTTCAGACAACGAAGATGATAATGAGAACTCTTCGGATGAGGAATCCCTCGTAACATCAGGATATTCTATAACGAATCAAGATGATACATCTGGCAAGGAACAGCAGCAAAAAAAGAACAATGTTAGCAAAGATTTGCGCAAACTCAAAAGTCTTGAAGACAATCTGGCCAGAATTCAGATGATGCGTGAGAACTACGACGCTGGCGATGAGATCTCCGAGGAACTACTCAAAATGGAATCCCTGTTTCTGATGCAGCGCAATGCCATCATGGATAAGTACCGCAAGCAGGAGCTTAAGAACAATTCAAGTGAAGATCAACAGCCAATAGATGAACAAGAAAACGTTCAGAAGGAAGTGGAAGCTCAGCAATCAGCCTTTCCCGTAAACAACATCTTTAATGCCAATCGTGAAGCCATCAAACTGACTATTTCGCCTCTGAAACTCACAAGAAAACCGGCAATTTTCGACAAGGATGAACCAGAGCAACCGGAACCATCCAAGCTTTCTGAGGAGCCTCCTAAAGCACCACTGCAAAAGCCACCTAAGGAGATTGCCATTGTTAAACCCACTATTGTGAAATCCCGTTCGAAATCTAGGACACTGAGGAGTCCACCACCGCCGACAGGAAGTCGTCGAAGGTCTCGTTCACGTTCCATATCCAGAAATAGATCCCGTCGTCGCGGCTCGAGGGTCAGGTCGCGTTCTCCGAGCCCCAGACGCTGGCGTCCTCCATCGCCGAGGAGAGGATCAAGATATGCTAAGAGAATCGGTGGAGTAACAGTCGGAGGAACTAAAATTGGAAGAAGTCGCAGCAGAAGTCTAACAAGGAGTCGAACTCGTAGTAGGAGTCCAAATAGACGAAGACGTGCGCTACCAATAGGTGGAAATAGGAAACGTAGTTCGTTGTCTCCTATTCCACCTAAAATGGCTGGTCCTCGGTCACCACCTCCTCCCCGCCTGCGTCGCTCATTAAGTCGAGATAGGGAGCGAGAACGGGAGAGGGATCGCTTCTCTCGCTCGCGTTCCCCGTTGCCTTTTAAACCACCTTCGCCGCCAATGCGACGCAGTTGGTCCAAAAGCCGTTCACCAACCAGGAGGAGATCGTTCTCCAGGTCTCGATCCCGATCCATATCTCCAAGATCTCGTTCGCTTGGAAACGAAAGCTTTGTTAACTATTTTGAGGAAAATCAGGGCATGGAAGCGGCTGCCTACTACTACAACATGTCATTGATGCAGCAGGAGAATCAGGATACAATGGGAGAGGGCTATGATGCGTATGCCGCCTACATGGACTCCGCCTACAACATGGAACAGGCCTATGCCCAGTACTCCGAAGACTATTCGAACTCGTATGGGGATTATATGGGTGAAGTATCTTCGTCACCTCAGCCACCTGGATCAGTACTCAGGGAACTCCCTATGGCACCGATGGTACCCATGGAATCCATTCCTCCTACGGCAGCGATTGTTTCAATGCCACCAATGATGCCTTTATCATCGGTAATGCCGGTGGCTGTGCAAAAGGGAAACGTTTTGGAGATAGTACCTTCTGGCGAGGACACAACGGAAGTGGAGGACACTCCGTTGCCAGTTGCAATAGAAGAACCAATGGAAGACAATAGGTATGCCAGTATTTTTTTAATTCGTTACAAATTTGAATGCAATTCGAATAATATAATTATTTTTTAGTAAACCTAAGCGAAAAAGCGTGAACTTTGTGGATAACGTGCTGCCCACCTACGAGAGCGATAACGAGGACCGCGCCTTTGTTGGGATGGCGGTCGAACGCGCGCTGCGAAAATATCAGGAGCGTCGCGCCCAAGCAGCTGCCAAGCTGCAACAGATTCGGGACGAGTTACTTGCATTGCCTGCGCCACCGCCGCCTCTAACACCCAAGCCAGCCAACTTAGAAAAGGCCGTCTTGGTGCAAAAGAAGCCCAAGTTCCGGTACTTCCATTTTGATCCTCTTAAAGGAGCAATAGTAAAGTCGCACGCACGAATGCTACGTTCACCTAACCGCCCGCCATTCGATCCCAAGCATTTTGCCATGCTGATGAAGACCGGTCGCCTGCCTCAGATGCCGCCAGGGTTCCTGCGACTTCGCCCGCCAATTATTCCTGCGCATGTGGATGCTGCCACAAGGGCAGTGATGCTCAAGGAGTTCTTTAGCAAACATCCACCACCTCCACTGCCGATGCCCATGCCTTTGCCGGATGGAATGCCCTATTACCTGAGTGGACCACCTCCTATGCCAAGTGGAGCTGTACTTTCTCCTGTGCCTATTAATGTGCTACCGCAGCCCATTCCCGTTTTGGATGGAAGTGGTTATCAGGGCTACCCTCAGCCGGTTGCCATGGTGCCATCGCCTGTTCCGGTTCCTGTACCCGTGCCGCTACCAGTGCCCGTGCCTGTTCCATCTAATCCTACGCCACCGCCTGCGATGATACCTCCTTATTTCACACCTCCACCTCTGCCTGAGCTGCCAACTCTACCCGAACTGCCGTCTCAATTCACTGTGAACTCGGTGCCCACCATTACGGAGATAATGCCGGTGGATATACTGCAGAAACTGGGACCGTTGCCGAAAACTTTAGACGTAGATGATGGGGGAACAGCCAGCCCGGAGGAAGCCAGCAACGATCTCAAGGAGTCTGAAACCAAGCCAGCCGAACAGCCAGTGGTGGACATTCAGCCGCAACTCCTTGTGGAGACTTAGTAGTGGATCCATCTCTTGATAGTTTGATTATTTAGCCAATAGTTTTCCTTTAGATAATTCGCTTCATGATCATGAATATCCTTTACTTTAATACTTAATTTTAAAAAGTTTTGTTTATATAATTTTTTTAATTGACCATTTTGTAAACAAGATGCATTTATTGATAGAAGTCGTTTTAGGTTTATTCAGCTCTAAGTTTGTATGTCATTTATATATGGTTCGACCTGACCAAATTCATTGATTTCTACAAGAAAATAAAAATGTAAATATTTCAGTGCGCTTAAGAATTATACACATTTCGCAACATTACGAATATATGAGTCATTTATTAAAACGAAACTTGACGAATTAATAATATGAGGAGAATGACTTTATTATAAATTTTGTGTGTTTTGAAACTATAAGGCTTTGGGTGGATCTTAAGGTACAAAATACAGACAGGAATACAAACTAGTGTTACAATTTTATTTAATGTGTTCTATTAAACTCATTAGTGCAATCTAATTAGCTATCGTTCATTGTCAATATAAGGCACATATTTTTCTATAATCCTTAACATTTATATACTTATTAGCAATACAATAATAGCAATCCTATCCTAGATGTTTTTCCTGGGTGTCAAAACCAATGAAAAACAATTCGCGGGCAGTGCCAAACTCTCTGGACTGATCTTGATTGTAGACAGATCGTGACTGCTGATATTATATCTCTGCATTACGTTGACCAGGATTAGGAAACCGAAGCCTCTGACCAAATTTTGACCGATGCAAGTCCGCTTTCCAATGCTAAAGGGTAAGAAATGCGGAATATTCTTTCTTAGTTGAAGTTTCTCCCTGTCGCTCTTGATGCCGGAATCGAAACCTTTGGAACTTTTCGGCCTTTCTTGATTTGTCTTTTCCAAAAATCTTAACGGATTAAATTCTTTAGGATTGACCCAATTGTTCTCGCTAGTATTAAGCACATAATTGTTGATAAACACAATGGTACCCTTTGTTACTCCATAGCCAGAGATTACTGTGTCCTCGGTGGCAACATGGGGAACAATTGGTGAGGATGAATACCGTAGTACCTCGAAAATTGTAGCCATCGTAAAAGGCATGTCATTCATATCCAGTAGGGTAACTTGCCTATTTTCTTTCAATGTAATGGTGTCTATTTCCTCTTGGATTCTCTCTTCTATATCCTGATTTCTGGCTATATAGGCCAGTACTAGCATCACAAGATTTCCGACCGCCGAATGTCCGCCGATGAAATCCTCCAGCATAAAGATTATGGTGTTCCTGGATACATCTTTGTCCTCAATAAGACTTTTTAGTAAGGCATCTGTAAAATCTCGATCTGGCTCATCCAAATCGATATTCAGCTCCCGGTGGCAGATAATCCTCTCCATTATAAATTTTCTGATAGTCGAGGACCAGTTGATGATTTTGTTAAGATGTCGCTGATAGAAGGGATATAGCCAGGGAAGAAAGTCGAGGGGATGTCCCTGATTGATCTCCCAGAAAATCTCATCAAAGTACTGAACAATCTGTTGGAACTCCATATCTCCGTAGTCAAATCTCAGGGAACACATGTACTGACTAAACATATTTCCACAGGCCTTGAGGATCAGAGGCTTCAGTTCAATGGGTTCTCCAGGGACCAGTTGGTTCCTTAGCTCCCGATTCCAATGCTCCATTTCCTCGCAGCCAATTTGGGACATTTTCATATAGAAGGAAGAGGATTCCCTGGGCGAACAGTGCCGCCTAGCGAGATTCCTTCTTTTCTGCTGCAGTTGAGACCAATCGCAGAGGGCCAATGAATTGCTTCTCTCGCCTCCAAATAACTTATGGTATCGTAAAAAATCCGGGCGTCCACTCATCACCTTGCCATTTTGATTCAAGACCTCGCGTATCAGTTCCAGATTATTCACAACCAAACAGCGGGTGTGTCCAAAAGTCAGGGAGTAAATGTCTCCATACTGTTTGGACAGCTCAGTAAATCCAGCGAAGGGATTATCTCTATAACGGTCCAGCAGATGTAGGTTACCAATGATGGGATAAGGTCGCGGTCCTGGAGCTTGTTTTAATTTTTCATAAACTATTTGATTTTGTTCAGATGAATTTTTATTTTTAACCGGCAGAATAACTCGTCTTTTTGCTCCATAAATAATGGCAATATAAGACGTGATCACAACACTGAGTAAAATGGTCAAAATACTATATGCCATAATAACCAGCATTTTACCGTCGTTCTTGAATGTAGGAGGTTCAAAAGACAACTAACGATGTCGAAGAAAATAAAGTAGACAGGTAAGATATGGGCCAAGAATTCCCTAGACCCTTTGAAAAAACTTGTTCGTTATCTGTTGTTTGAAGAAATACCTGCTAGTTCTATCGATTCTTCGGCTACCTGTTTGTTTTGGTTTTTATGTTTTGTTATTTCCATTTAAAGGACAACATGAATCATCAGGATGGAAGCAGATACGTCTTAGATTATATATTCATTAGATATTCCAAGATGTCCTGGCTAAATTTTATTTTGAATTTAATTTATTTCGACATATACATACATAGCGTGTATTATTTAAAAATAAATTATAATTGAAGTGCTGCCACGGCAAAGAATTTAGTAACTGGGGCGTAAGATCTGGTTGATAACTTAAAGATGACGATTTTACGATTAGAAGATTTGTCTGCGCTTCTTTTGAAGAATCAAGTTTATGGCTATGGACGGAGTTATGCGCTCAAGACAATTGCTTTTTAGTCTAAGCCTTACGAAAAAAGAACTGGCCAGCCGTCTGCGCATAATAAAAAATCGCTGACCTTGCACCTTGAATCAAGGTGCAGCCCACAAAAGTGCATAAGCTGCGTCAGCGTCCTGATGTCAGTATATACCAAGGTGACTCGATGGTCACCCGGTTAATTTATTAAATACACTATTCAAAAATTGATAAAAAATATTTATTAATTTAATTAACTTCATTTTTTTTGATACGCCCGTTATTAAATGCTTTTCATTCATAATACAACATACGACAATCAAGTTGATCTTAACGCCTTTTTATGTGTACTTTTTAGTTATACATACATAGTTTACATTTGGTAATTCATTTCAGAAAGCAGTTTAGAGTTTTTATTATATCTTTTATCACTTTAGCTTAATTTTATCGACTTTGCACTCCCCTGAAAATGATCTTAAACTACTCGTTATTTATTGAGTATTCCGTATGACTATGGTACTTTGATCGGCACTTTATTATTCATTAAGTTTTTCCTTGGCAAAAGGTCCGATGTTGGCCGCATAGGCCATCATGGCGGGAATGGAACTTTGCTCGTAGTTGCCAGTGAACAGATGCTCAAAGGGACCAGAAGCGAAGACCCCCACATCCTCGGCGCCATGGGTCTCACTACTCAAAGGAACCGTGGCCTGGAGAGCAAACTCCTCGTTTGTAGTGTCCACATGGGAAAGATCAATGCGTCCAGTCTCAGAGCTGTAGGTGTCAATGAATCCCGGACCGTTGGCATAGGACAAGATGGTGAAAGGCAGGTCATCATCAGCCACGTTGGGAGCCAGGGAAAGGATGTTCTGACGGCGGTACTAAAATATAAGAAAGGATGTTTTAAAAATTTATTAAGTTTATTTTTAATCCGTTTTCAAATAATTTTTTCATATTACTTCATATGATTTTCTATTTAACTTCCACCTCAATAATATTCACAATCATTAATTTGCTGACATTTTTTAAATTACTCACCGGATAGCCGTTGATAGACATGGTGTGAGAGTGATCCGAAGTCACCACGATCAGAGTATCCTCCTCGCTGGTCATTTTCCTTGCCAGTTCCACGGCTGCCGCGAATTCTTGGGTATCCTCCATAGCCTTCTTTGCCTTCGTGGCATGATGGGCCATATCTATCCGACCACTCTCGACAAACAGGAAATAACCTTCGTCGTTCTTACTGAGCAAATTGATGGCTGCTTCTGTCATTTCAGAAAGGGATGGAATAGCATTTTCGTAATGGGTTCGACCACGATCCCCATGATAAGGCATGTGAGATGTGTCAAAGAGTCCCAGAAGATAATCCGTTTTGCTGATATCGGTGTCCTTCAGACCCTTGAGTGACCAGACATACTTTCCCTCCGCTCCCTGTTGTTTCTTGATCTCTTGCCATTCCTTGACCAGATCACGACCATCGGTTCGCAGACCCGCAACACCGGTCTCATCTGGCTGGGACTGATCCCGGAAATTGGATCGACCACCACCCAGAATTACGCGAAGTTCCTGACCCACTGGCCACTCCACTAGCTGGCGGGCAACGTCCGTGTTGATATCGGGACTGCAATTGGAGTTGATTATCTCACCATCGTGTTCCCATTCCCTTTCAGCAACGTGGGCATAAACTCCGGCTGGCGAAGCATGTGTCACTCGTGCGGTGGTCACCACACCAGCCCACTTTCCGGCCTCCTGGGCCCACTGACCAATACTCTGGACATGGTTACTCGAGTTGGTCACACAATCGCCCCTTTGCACCTTTGCATTCACTCCAAGGGTACCGTAGTTGGCCTTGACTCCAGTTAAATAGGCCGTAGCTGTATTGGCCGAGTCCGGAGTACGTTCATTTACAGCATAGGTTTTGGACAGACCCAAGTAGGGGAATGTCTCGAAGTAGACCTGCTTGTTACTATCGCCCATAAAGGCACGTGTTGCCGCTATCGTATGGATTGACATTCCATCGCCCAAAAATAGGATCACGTTCTTGGCACGATTTTCGTTCAGTTTCTTATGGGTGGCCAGCTTATCGGCTAGAATCGATTGGGCTTTATCGTGCCAGAACCGTGTGTCCAGTTCCTCGTCGAGGGCCTCGTAGTCGCGTGATGATTGCAAACGGGGATGTTGGGCTGTAAAGTCCGGACTTTGGGTTAGCAACTAATCGGCGGGAAAATTTGACTAATAAAACTACTTATTCAAGTGGTAAACATGTTTTCTGGCTGTCTTGATTAGATGTATGAATCAGTTTTAATTATAATGAGATTTGGCTTACCATCTTATCGCTACAAAATTGCCCATGATTGTACCTTAATAAAACGTGCTAAAAACGTTTCCAATTCTAGAACTGATTAATAATTTCTTGAACAAATAATGTGTTGTCATGATTATACATTCGTTTTTAAGTGGTTTCTACTTTGTTAATTGGGTTTTAAAACTATATTATTGCTTAGATAAGTTTCCTTAACTTTGATTTATAATACCTCAAGTATAATTCCATTCTTTTGAATGCACTTAACAAGTTACTACAGCAACCTTTTATAATCAATGCATTTTTTGAGAGACTTGATTTAATTTCAAAACTTTAACCTTTACTAACGCTATCTTTATTGTAATTTCGTTTCACGTGAACAAATCAACTCATAATCGAGTTATAGCTTGTCGATGACTGAAACTTTTTAGAAATAGATCTTTATTAGCCAATTCAAATAAGCAAACAAGATTTGCGATAAGGCCTAGTGGGCTTCTTCAATTGGTTGTAGATAAGCTGGGGTCCCGACAAATCGGATTCGTTCGGTAATTATATTTTCGTAATATCGTTCGGTTCCACTTACCATGTTCTTGATCGTCGGCTGCATCACTCCGAACCTGGATGAACAGGAGAGCGAAAAAGCACAAGATCAGGCAACTTTTTACCATCTTGAAGGGGCGGTAGTTTAAAACTGAGAAATGCTCTGTTCGAGAGTGACCGCGAGACTGGCCAAATTAGACGAATTGGCCCGGTTATATAGCCTACGATTTTCAAAGCGTTCTTCCTGTAATACACATACGTATTATATATTATTGTTTTTGTGATTTCAGTAATCTTAAGTGGCGATCGATTATCTCAAGTGTCTAAAAACGTGATTATCACGGTCTAGCCAAGGAGGTGTCGTAAATTACCCGCTCTCCACCAAATTGCCCAATCGACTCCTCACACGAGCTGCACCTGATGGTATATTAATGGGTGGTATGTGACTCCGGTGTACAGTATTCATTTGGCCGGCACAGTGAAAGCATCTCAAAAATGCTGAGTCTTAAGTTCTGGATTGGCCTCGGTCTGTTGACCGTCGTCTGGGGAGCAGCGGTACCTGGAAAGGCTCCCGTGGACGAAGAGCGAATGCATCCCCATCTGCCCAGTAGTCCCAGATTACGTACCATTTCCGGAGAGGATACCCAGGAGTTTTGGTACTCGGACAGCAAGAGACTCATTCGTGAGAAGATAGAGTACGTGAGGAATACGAAGAAGGCTAAGAACATTATCCTATTCTTGGGTGACGGCATGGGTCTGGCTACTCTGGCTGCTGCGCGCAGTTATATTGGAGGTGAAGAGCTGAAGCTCTCTTTCGAGGAGTTCCCCTTCACTGGGCTATCCAAAACCTATTCGGTGGACAAAGTAGTCCCCGATAGTGCCTGTACTTCTACCTCATATCTTTGTGGAGTGAAGGCAAACTACGGAACCATTGGCGTCAATGCCCATGTGAAACGAGGTGACTGTTTGGCCATGGCCAATGAAACGAATCATGTTTTCTCCCTGGGAAAATGGGCCTTGGATGCGGGTAAAGCTGCTGGACTGGTGACCACCACGCGAGTGACCCATGCCTCTCCATCAGGCGTCTACGCCCATGTTGCCGATCGTGAATGGGAGAATAATGCTGTGCTGGAAGAGGACTGCGGTGAACAATCCGCGGGTCTCCAGGATATAGCTGTCCAGTTGATTCACGGCGAGGTGGGCAGCAAACTCAAGGTTATGTTGGGTGGAGGCAAGCGAAGCTTCTATAGTCCTGAGCACTACGATAAAGGACGTCGCACTGATGGTCGCAATCTCGTCGAAGAATTCGAGGCCTTGGATGAGGGCAATGTTTTTGTGAAAACCCAGAAGAAGCTGTTGAATGTAAATGCCACCGAAACTGGGCGATTGTTGGGTTTGTTCAGCAAGAGCCATATGCACTATCATCTGGAACAACTGGCCGATCCGGAGAACAATGAACCCACCTTGGAGGAGATGACACAGAAGGCCATTGAAGTGCTGGAGACCGAGGAGCAGGGCTACTTCCTTTTCGTAGAAGGAGGAAAGATTGATATTAGCCACCATAGTACAAAGGCACGAATTGCTCTGGATGAGACTGCCGAACTCTCGAAGGCGGTGAAGAAGGCTCTTGAAATGACCAATCCGGAGGAGACCCTTATTGTGGTGACCTCGGATCATTCGCACACCTTTAGTGTGTCCGGCTATCAACCTCGAGGAAGCGATATATTTGGAGTTGCCAAGGCGAAGGGCCAAGATGGTATACCCTATCTGGCATTAAGTTATGCGAATGGTAAGAGTTTTGAGGACTACTACAACACGGAGACCCACGAACGTGTGGATCCTACCAGCCTCCCCACAATCGGCGATTTTGATCAGCTTTTCCCCGCGATGGTGCCACTGGAATCGGAGACTCATGGAGGCGAGGATGTCGGCGTTTTTGCTTCGGGACCCTGGGCTCATCTGTTCACCGGGGTCTACGAACAGAACGCAATTCCCCATATAATGGCCTTTGCCGCTTGCGTTGGTAATGGACTAACCGCCTGCGATTAGGAATCACAACCAGGAGTTGATTGACACGCCAAAGGACTCTTAATTAGCTCTTCCACTTGACGATTATCACGTACGCTTTATCGTCTTAAATGAATACTCAAGAACTGACAGGTGCTGGAACACACGGCCCTCGAGAAAGTTTTGATCAGGGATTACTCGCACTTTCCACAAGAAGTGTGGTTATCAATATGAACAGCAAACTATACTTATATTGTCTGATTATAGGCAGACATTAAAATCCCGATTAAAGCAGATTAAATTAATAAAAACATTGTTGCCATCAAAGATTTGTATCTCTGAACTTACCCTACTTTTAAGACCTTGAGCTCTAGATTGTTGCTCTTGTGGAGCAAACAAATAGTTTTTGGACTTTCGGACCTTATATAATGGGGCATTCCTGCGAATAAATACCCAATAAACCGAATACGTCAATCAGATTATTAGTGGGATTTCTTGTCTGATAAAGATTTAAATATTTTATTGCGTCTAAGCGACGCAAATGGATGACTTTGATCATAGTGCTAAGGACTTACGGTGTTAAAGTCCCGAAGCCAAACTATTTTTAGGGAGTATGGTTTCATTAGCTCATGTTAAAAAATCTACTAAATGCAATTTAGAAAGTACATTTTCTCATGTCATTAATGACTTCTAATCTTACCTATTTCTGATTAAAAATCCAAAATAAGAAGGCATGTTGTTTTTTTAGCCTTTCTCAAATTAATAACTTTCTTATCTTTTTATTTCGGCCTATCATTAAATCTGTTTTTATCTCTGATAGACATTTCTTATAAATAGTAAGAAATTTAATTATCACCTTTCACTTTAAATAAGTGAATCGAGTGACATAGAATTGTTTACCCACCGGTACACAGAAATATATATTTACAATTTCATCAGATCTAATGCGACGAAATGAAGTTGTGCGTATATTATGTGTGGTTTTACTTTGAATTTATATTATAACAATTGGTAGTCAGAATGATTAAGCAATCTACCGAGTGAATAAAATGCCCAATTCTTTTATTTATTATGCAATTCAAATTGTCAAACGTAATCGCGACCCACTCGGCTGTATGGGACTTCAGTTTTTCTGGCGAATCTTCACCATACGCAAAATCATTGTTTACAATTGTCTTTGCGGAATTCCGTTGAGAAATACCCCTTAGGAAAGTTAAGTTATTCTGGTTTTGTAGAACAAAGGTAATCGATTCTTAGAAGCTTGATGGTTTTTGATTTTGCTTACTTAATCAACCATTGACACTTGATAACCAGTTGCAAATAACCATTCAATGAATAAACACGAGAAATCCCAAGAGATAAAGCCAACTTTATAAATGGTAACTTAAATCAGAAGGTTTATTTATTATCTTCTTGTTAGACATTATCAGTACTGTTTTTATTAAAATATTCAACTAGCTCTAATCTAGACTTTCCTTTCAAATGATAACTGCATATTGGCTAGCACTACGGGGTTGGACGAGCGTGGCATACTTCTCCTTCAGCTCGACCAGAGCCCTCTGAAAGTTGTCCATGCTGCTCTCCAGCTGATTGGAATTATGCTGCTGGACGGATTGACCCTTGGCAGCCATTAGACCATCGTGGGATCTTTCGCCCAAGAGGAGGATCCTTCTCCAATCGCTGGCATCCGAGCTGCCTCGCAGGAAATCCTTGCGGTTGCCCACTGCAAATAGGGTTTCCTCTATATTTTCCGGTAGTAATGTGGTCTGCGTATTTCCCAGATCTCCGGGAGTAGGTTGAGTAGGGGACAACTGATTTGCCGGTGGTGTAATCCCCGACAGAGATGAAGATGTGGGCTGAGGTGGCGGAACTTGAGCACCTCCACCTTGATTAACCGGTGAATCGAATAGTTGACTGGGTAGATTTTGTGGCCGATCGATCTGCAGCACCTGACCATCGGGTGAAATATGGAAGAACTGTGCACGACCAGTTAATCCAGTTCCCGTACCTGCAGGAATAACTATAATGTTGCCCACTGCGGTGGTCAATGCGGAGGCTCCCCCAAATCCGCCACCAGGAACTTGGGTGGAAACAAAAGGTTGAACAGGAACTCCAGGTGGCGGAACATTTCGCAAAGGTGGAGGCGCCGGACAGGGGAAGCAAAATCCAGGAGGACCCGGGGGTCCTGGTAATCCTCTGGGACCCGGAATAATGGGCAGATTCGGAGGAAACGGGCCGCCAAAGCCCCAGTACCCGGAACCACCGTTATGGTTCCCTGGAGGCCCGGGAGGACCGGGAGGTCCACGCTCACCCGGCGCACCAGGATCACAAGAGCATTTTACCAAAGATGCCTGGGCAGTAGAACATAGACCTGCAGGAAATTATGTATTAAAAAATTGTAAAGGAAATTAACGAAACTTTAAAATCTTACCCAAAAACAAGACAGCTAAGAGAATCAAAAAATCCATGGTGTTCTTGGAAAATAACTTGGGAACAGACTGGATGAGCCGAGAACTCGACCTTTGCTTTTATAACCTGGAAAATTTGGACCAAACCAATTGAGATGACAAACTTTTTAATATGCATATCAAATGGCCAAATAATCTGAAAATCGATCCAAAAACGCATTTCTATAACTGTTCTTGTTAAACGATCAAATGTAATGGAAAAACGCCATCACCAAGGCGCTCGCTGACGTTTATGATAATTTACGCTACAAAATATACACTAGCATTATTAGGTCTGAAGTCAAGCCCCATAACTGGGTCAGCAGGGTTCTGAATTCTTGGCAAACAATCAGCGGGGAAAACTTCAAAAATGCATCAAATGTCAATCAAGTCGTAAACTCAGATTAAATCAGATAATTTATGTGGGCGCTACCCATCAAAATGGCACCCAAGCTTTTGAATTGCTGGGGTATATTATGCTCATCACCTTCCAAGAGAAACATAAATTCCACAATCTTTTCTTCAAGCGCCGTTACAGTTTTAATGATCCAGAATTAGCATAAATTACGAAATCAATATGATCCCAATCAGGTTCCTCCAGTCAGCGGATTGAATTGAAAAGGTTCTGGCGACATTTCCGACTTATTCAGAACTCCATTGACTAGAAGAAGCCCCCGAAAACACGCGTCATTAGTGGCACTCTTCACTCTGTAAGTGCCCACT